ACCCAATCAATGGGTAGGAATCTAACGGTCCATATTTTTCTAGTTCTATCAAATCGTGATATGGTGCGGTCATCATCCAGCAATATCGATGAGCATTTCTCCTCACATTCCACGGGTTACGGATTCTCACTAAAAATTCATGAAATCCATCTTGAAGCATGTTAGTAATGAGCACATGACAGCAATTCAATCCGGAGGTTAATGGGTACTGAATTGAAAAAGGTCAGAACATGTGAGCTATTGGATTACACTCAGTGGCTAGATAATTAACGACATACGCTTGCGCCTCTTCTCATTAGAACAAAGTGCTTATTCGAAAACTTCTGCACTTGATGAGTTATTAGCTGACGAATGAAAAGAATTCGAGGAACAAGCTGCAACTGTGAGCGAAAGACGTGTGTTGAAAGTTAGGCAAAAACTTCTACATTCCATTTGTCAGGACCGACAGAAAGACAACTGATTGGTCAGCGTTTTCAATGTAAAATGTGGACTAAACAGAAGCTCTTAACCTTAATCAAATAAATGTCAGTCAGATTTTATTCGTCAATTATTTTGTTAATCTTCATCAAAAGGCATTGTCAATATTATTTAACACTATTCCATAATTAAACTTGATCGAAGGTTGTGATATTGACATTTTATATTAACCTTGGTAGTTTTTCTTTCAATAAAAGAAACATAGAAACAGCTATGTTTTCAGCTGGTTTTCGCCTTTTTTCACGACAATAAATTTTGCCTTCTCAATCTTATCTTCTGTATCGATTATTTATGTAACGACAGTATTCCAGTGATCAGTATCCACTGCCGTGTGTCAAAGTGTTGTGGGTGTTTAATGACAGATCCTAATTTACAACGCACTAGATAGGAGAGATCCCAGATCTAGTGCCATCCGAACACTTCACAATTAGATTAATCCATATCACTCCAAAGTCACCAATTAAAAAACAGATTTCGTGTTTAACTTCCCAAACGTAACATTCTCATTCAAACAGCTTCGAGCATTGTCAACTGGTACTAAGTCCTGTCACCAAACCGTCAAAGACATCAATCTTTGTTGAGGAGTTGAATTCAAGAGTTCGGTCAGTCAAACAAAAGACTTATTTCCTGTTCTTGAAGAGGATTCATGACACTTCAAGTCAACTGTGCCTAAATGTTGTCAAAAATTCTAAAAAATTAAGACAAAAAAAACCACCAACTCGTAACCAAGTAGCACATCACAGAATAAACACAGTTGACTGGAAATAAAAAATCAGTTATCAAATGTCCCGATAAGAAAAGTGAAACTATTTCACTAAACAGGTCAGATTAGATAGAATGTTGAAAATACTTAATGCTTATAGTAAGCTTACAAGGCCAGCTAGCTGAAGAGAAAGACCATACCGTGAAAATTGAAAAACAATGAAATATATAACTTTACCTACGATGAAGTAGGACTAAGTAATCACTGCTGAAATTCTCGAAAGAGAGCAACTTTCGGGACCAATAATTCCATCCCTCGATAACCTACTGAAGACCTATACAGGAAGCGTTATCTATGTGCTCGACGCTTGATATGTCCGGATTTTAATATCGTCCTGCAGCACGATAGTTGAGGGAAATTTGGGACCAGTCGAAAAAAATGGTGGAGAAACACACTATCAGATTTGTTGATACAATAAAGGAAACAAACCTAAATGGTAAAGTGATGGCTTCACAAAATGTTGTCTCATTTATCAAGCAGTATTCTGACGGAAGCGGTATATTTCAGTGAGAATTTATCGACTTTAATAAGTCAATACACAACTCAAGCGGATAATTATTAAAATGAAAGCGAAATAGTCGCGATTGTCATAGCACACGAACCTATCACTTATACATCTCCATGCCTTAAATTCCACCATATTTCTTAAACCTCGGTCTATTCAAGGCGCCCTATTGCATCTACATTTAATTTTCCAGAAACTCCCTCCCACTTATCAAAGAATTCACTTATGGTTGAATGAAGTAATGTGTTAATTATCTCACTGAGTACCCGCTTTTGTCTAAAATGAAATTTAAAACACTAAATTGATACACCATAGCCCAACAGAATATTTTTCTACAGATATGACACTTCTCCTACCTCTCAGCTAGGTAATCCAGTCACAAATTCTCTTTCTCACATTCCAAATCCACACGAACGACTGGATGATGTGTTATTTTGTCTGAAGCCAATCAGTACCAACGTGAGAAATGGCGTTACAGAGTAACAGTCCAGGCCGCCACATCTCGTACCAGCATATCAACGTAAAAGGTATCGAACCGAAAGATACAGAGATGAAGGAGAAAGCAGTCAAAGTGGTGGAAAGTAGTGAAGAAGTGCGAACAGAAAGCAATGAAATCATAACGAAATTCCCTATGACAATTACGATAAAGATAATGTGTGCATACATCTACACCTCTGAAATCGACTCGAACAAGCCATTTCACCCACAGCCTCCAACCATTGATTGCTGTTGTCACACGGGTGCCACCGAGATGTCTACATCCCCCCAGTCAACTCAGACCAACATTCACAGACTTCGTGAACTGATGCTATGTTTTAGTTTGACCACCTTCAGTCTGTTCCCAATCTGAACCAACTCCAGTTACCATTTTGTTAAGGACCAGACGATGACTAGAAGTATATACCATGTCCCAGTCATCTGAGTTGATGAAGGTTCATACCTGCGTCAACTGAATTTCCTCTCCTCCCAAAAACTCTACCTTTAACTCCTACTTTACTGACGTGGTGACACCACGACACACCCTATGCTTCGAAGGCAATCGTGGCCGAACAACTGAAGCTTTCTAACATCCTCTAACTTTAACGACCACCTGTCACAACCATAAAAAAAGACACCGCGAACTGTTTAACAGTGCATTCAACCGTAATAAACAGTCAGGTATTACACTAGTGAGAGAGATGCAGCAAGCTGGCGAAAGCCAATCGAGCGTTTTGTATCAGTGCGTGGATCTTGTTGGTCACCGAAGCACCATGACTGATTAATTTCCCTAAGTAAATGAAGTAGTCAACACACTCAACTGCTTCACTCCCTATTGTTAGACTAAGCATTTCTCACCAAACGTTTTTACTTTGCCATCACTCTTTTTCTATCCACTCGTCCTTAGTATACTACTGTGAAGTGTGGCAACTCAAACCGATCTACTTGTGTGTGTGAGGTCCTACGTTGATTGTCTGTCATCAGAGAAAGCCAGTTCTGAAGCAACAGCTTGTATTTGACTGGTGAGGAGCGCATCCCGAACATTCTCAAATTACTGCTCAAAGTATCAGTGAAACTCTGTATCTCGTTAGGGTCTTCACCTAACAGGATTATGCCATCCATATAATCTACGTTTTATAACAGCTGCCCTGTATCAAGGTGAATTCGTTTAAAGTCAGAAGACAAGACGGAGACATCCATAAGTACATCTGTGATAAAGTCGGATGGGAAATGAGAGAGTGGATATTCTTGACGGACATTACACAAGATACACAACTTATGTGACAACTTGCCATGCGTTGTAACACGCCTATGGGTGTTCGAGAACGGATCCTTTAAAAAGGTTGACGCGTACTTTGTGCTCACAGTGGCCAACAGTGAAATCTGAGATATCCAATGAATCGTAGTGGCCAGCATGCGTAACAGTGACCACAGAAACTTCTAACAATATAAGGAGGTTAGAGAAATAGCGTTTCTAAGTTATCCGTGTTCGAACATTAGACCTTCACGAACTGTAATAGAAGAACCTATTTTTTAGTGATATTGTTTTTTCTGGGCTGGATGGTTTGATCGTGAAGCTTTGATTGTCATTCTAGACAACATCATCAGCACAAATTTCAGAAAGTGAGGAAGAACACTGAAGAGGAATCAAATAAAAAAAAACTCACATTTTTAGACGTTCTCATCACTAGAACGGATTCGAGAAAACTGGAAACTGAAGTAAAGACAAAAATAACTCAAAAGGATCAAATCCTCAACTACAGTAGCAACAACTCAACAGTACATAAAATCAGTTGTGTTAAAACACTGTTAAAAAGTGCGAAGACACACTGTAGTACACCAACATTGAAGATGAAAGAAAACTATTTGGTAGCTATTTTCTAGAAGAACGGCTATCCACGTGACTTAGTCGAAGAAAGATGCCTGCATAATTGGTGGTCAACCAAGAAGTCAGCCTCGAAAACCAAAAACCGAATTGTTTTACCCTATATGAAGAATGTCTCCGAGATCACGACTAAATTACTGAAGCCTTTCGAAATCGCTGAATACCAATGGCCCACAAAATCTCTTCACTCTCTGTTATGCAGGTCAAACGATACAATAGCAAAAGAGAGACAAACCAAACATTATCTACAAAATAAACTGCAAAAACTGCGATAAGCACTACATCTGACAGAGTGGTCACCACTTTCGTATCCGTCTATATGAACATCAACTGGCAGTGAAGCGTCATGATACATCTTCGCTTATATCATTGCATACGAACAACCATGGACAAGGATTTGACTAGGAAAATGTGAAAATCCTGGACGGCGGAAACATAAAGAATGCCAGGAAACTTTTAGAAGTCTGGTAATCAGGCCAGTCAGCAATCAACAGATATATAAATCCTGAACCAATCTGTCCACCAACAAGAAACAACAAAACGATCACAGTTAACGTCGGTAGAACAACCAATTCAAATAAATATCCAGACAATGACAAAACTTTGGCAGAAACAATGAATCACATTCGAGGTCCTTAGGATAAGCTACTACGCAAATTGTAGAAAAAACGCTATACCTCACTACTCTCCGAATTTCGTGCTGAAGTTATCTAGAATGAAAATGAAAGCTTCACGATTAAGCAATCCAGCTCAGATAACACAACGCCATCAAAATTATCCTCTTGCGCTACAATTATCTTCCATCATTTCAGAAGAATCTATCTTAGAAACTGATATTCACAATAATCCAGTGACTAAAACGAGACCAGAAATACGAAGCAAAATGTTACACAGAAGTAAATAATGCGTATATATAAAGGAGTATTAAATACACTTGGCAAAAAGTATTATCACAGTCACGCAGCTTCATTCTGAACTAACTCCTTGAAGTCGTTTTGTTGGAATGATTTTCAACGCTTCATCGCCTTCAAGCTCTGACCTTCTTCGGCGTTCGTGAGGAGCGAATAAGACCGTATGTCTTTGAGCAGGTGGTTTGTCTACCAAATAACCTGATAGTGGTGTAAGGACTGGTTTCATATTTTCCCAAGGATCTGATAGACAGGAAGTAATCCAATTTTTAACTGGGCTCCCATTGTTTCCACCAAATTTTCTATTATTGCTTCGCGGTGAACTTGATCTCTGATCACATAACGATGAATTCACGAAAGAAGTATCATGTCTCCAACTTAAATCCTCTTGTGTTGTTACAAACGAGTTACTAGACATTGAATTGAGGTGCATATTCAGTGATGGATTACAGCAGCTTGACACGAATGATGAGTTCGCTGAAGCGTAGGAGCTGGTAGAAGAGTTCGAATTTCGGTGATAGAATGACTGGTTAAAATTTGGCGTACCATACCTTGCAGGACTGTCAACGTGATAATGTGGGTAACCAAGAAGAGGAGGCGGACTACAATAAAATGAATCCTGTGGATATCGAGGAAACCTCTCGTTAATAAATGGAGGCGTTGAAGAGATTGGAGATCTACGGTGTAAAAAAAATAATGGGGACATATTTAGTTGCATAAAATTTGAAAATGATGACGATACCACGACACATGGTCTATTTTGCGAAGGTAATGTTGATCGGACATCTGAAGCCAACTCATACCTTCAACGTTAACGAACATTTGTCACAACCATAAAAAACAGACCGAACTGTTTTGCATTACACTCAACCCTGGATAAGTAATAATTACGAATTATGAACAAACGGTGTGTTTACAAATAGTCATGAAAATTTGGAGCTTTATTTTGTGGGTACTACTGATTTACTACTATTTTAGAAATTCTGACAGTATAGCAGAATAATGAAGTCCTGAACAATGATTCGAATGTGGGAAATACATTGGCGTTCAGATAATCTTCAATGGTACACCTTGGTCGATGAAGTCCATAACGAACTTGTTGATTTGATATAATACACAGTGATGAATTATTATTTACTGGATGACAGTATTTTACCCACGGTAACTCGAGTTTCGACATCTAGTTGTATTTCTGTCGTTTATCACTCCACAGTTGAAATGGTAATAAGATTCTCCACATATCCATAATAGATGTTGTGTCACCTTCATTGCATGTAGTGAGTTTTGACTCGATGAGAAAAGATCTAGTAATCCATCTTCCTCCCTCCACCTATCTATATTGACCATTAGGATTGTTGCTGTATTCCACCTTATCGTGTGCTCGTGAGTCACTGCATGCATTACAATGGTGATTATTTTGTAAAGATTGCCTATCTTTGTTGGGATGAAGTAAATTTCCATTTGGTATTTTAACTGACCAAACTATTCGCAAGTGTATTTTGGAATGAAGATTGTATCTGGAGCATGGCTCTGTCCGTTTAGGTCTGTAGGAAAGAACAATAATGCCGAACATTGTTTGACGCTGGTAGGATTTTAAAATGATTGAGAACTACTGTAACTCAGAAGGATGATTTTTGTGATGTTTTGTTCACAGAGCTTAATGATTTAATCAAGAGAGAATTATCCAACTCAGAGAACAGAACACCAAAATCATCCCCGTCGTAGTAAGCATAACAGTTTGTATGGTAGTGGTTAACAAGCAGCAAGAATGAATGATATCATATGGTATTGCTGACGGTAACTACATAAGAATAATGAGACAAATGGGGAGTAAAAAATTATTTAGAACAACGTTGATAACGGTTTTTAAGGTTAATAAAAAAAAGGAGTATCTTCACATAGGTAAGTCATGCAGTAGGTCACGGTAAAGAAAACCTGTACGAACACACCAGCTCGGTCTATTATTATTATCATTATTGTTATTAATGGTTAATTTGGTTAATTTTTGGTTAATTTTTCATTTTCATTGTCTCTAATTACTCTTATGAAATTCTCGTGAACAATATCATGACGTATTCATTCTCACTTATTGTCATCTTATTTAAGTCTATGATTATAAATTTAGCTAAATTTCTATATCGAGACAATCAAATTTATCTCGGTCGGTTCATTTGGCCTATGCACCTAGCGTCATAGTTAGCAAGTACTATATTGTAGATTTATTAATTTTGTTAAAATGGGTTACTGGGTCAACAAAGTTTCCTTCTGATTGAGTTCTCAGTAGAATCCTTGCTAAGATGGGAGTTAGGGTGGTATTACCTTATTACTATGCATTATACCACACCAAGTAAACAATATACGACAGAATTATACTCTGCTATAATGCCTAAGTTTTATTCTTACAATTTAAAATGAAAGACCCAGTTCAGATAAGTAATTTTACTAAATATCCATGCAGTGACTCACGAGCACACAATAAGGTGGAATACAGCAACAATCCTAATGGTCAATATAGATAGGTGGAGGGAGGAAGATGGATTACTAGATCTTTTCTCATCGAGTCAAAACTCACTACATGCAATGAAGGTGACACAACATCTATTATGGATATGTGGAGAATCTTATTACCATTTCAACTGTGGAGTGATAAACGACAGAAATACAACTAGATGTCGAAACTCGAGTTACCGTGGGTAAAATACTGTCATCCAGTAAATAATAATTCATCACTGTGTATTATATCAAATCAACAAGTTCGTTATGGACTTCATCGACCAAGGTGTACCATTGAAGATTATCTGAACGCCAATGTATTTCCCACATTCGAATCATTGTTCAGGACTTCATTATTCTGCTATACTGTCAGAATTTCTAAAATAGTAGTAAATCAGTAGTACCCACAAAATAAAGCTCCAAATTTTCATGACTATTTGTAAACACACCGTTTGTTCATAATTCGTAATTATTACTTATCCAGGGTTGAGTGTAATGCAAAACAGTTCGGTCTGTTTTTTATGGTTGTGACAAATGTTCGTTAACAGATGTCACCATATCAGTAAAGTGGAAGTTAGAAGTAGTGGTTTAGGTAGAAAAAGTAGATCAGTTGATAAGGTTGTGAACTTTTATCGACTCAGATGGTTGGGTTATGAACCACACACAATGTTAACTGAAGTAAGTTTAACCTTGAAAAATGTAAGAGATGACCAGATCAAAACACGGAATCAGTTCATGAAGTCTTTCACTACTGGTCTGAGCTGTGTAGGGGAATGGAGACTACGCGGTTGGAGCCCGCGTGAAAACAAAACCAGCGGTTGGGGGATGTAAGTGACATAGCTCAGAAACTGTTTCAGTGGCCCAGTTATATCCACACATTATCGTCAACTTAGTAGTAATACTGAATCCAATGTTTTCTTATTTTTTCTTATCTTATCGCGACTTTGACTCATTTCTCTTTTGTTTCTTTACCTGTAGTCTATATGCTTAATCGTTTGATATGGTGGTATGAGGTATGGCAACTTAAACCGCAACGCAGTGATATCTGATCCTGTTTTGATCTTTTCTGTCTTTCCTTACATCACGAATTCAAATGGCAGTCGGAAAAATCCCAAGTGAAATTGTAATCTTGTCGCTAGCTGAGTTCTGCAGCTCAATTTGTAGAACACCTGGTGGTTGCTGGTTGGAATCCTGCACAGATCCGGGTTTGCTTTTCACCTTCAGTCACCAAACTGTATCAGTAATATCATAGCCAAACGAACTCATCAAGCAATCTAAATGACTTCAAAGTCAGCAAACAACGCCCAATATGAAAAACGCCGGATTAGTACACGTTCAGTTATGAGTAACTCAAGGTGATGCTGAAAGATGACTTAACTAGCTGAACAACGACTTAAAGCATATTTGAACATGCTGCTATATCTTGATGTTACATGAGCGGTGATTTTACTAATTGATAAATCATAGAATATCGCTGAACAAAAGAAAACTAGTTTTAAAAGCGCAGACAGAGAGCGACTATGAAACTACTGTACATGCATTTTGCTTAAGTCAAACAGAAATTGTGATCATTATGACTGACAGGATTTAGGATATGACGCCGATTCTCGATTTATGGATATCTATCGCTCCACCAGCACACAAATGAATGAAATGATTAAATCGCAGCAAGCATTTACAAACACATGTGCTTGACTACGGACCGCACCTGTTGTGTGAACTATTGGTACTGCATGGCTTCTCAATCTTTAGAAGGTGTGGAGGATTTCGAGCCCAATCTATTGAACTCCAGTGGGTCTTCTGGATATACATATACCTCATTGTGCAACTTCATATAAGCATATAATTGGCATAAGTGCAACTATGTACGCGAAAAGGGTAAGGAGCCCTTTTAATCCATCTCCTAACACTTTTTGACTGTCTTAAGACAGTTTGCCACGAATTATCTCCAGTCTTGAAGTTAAAGCTTCCTAGTAACAAACAGTCACCAAAGCCGAGGCGAACAATCAATATTACTCATCCTCTAAACTACGATTTTGAAAGTATGAATTCGAATTTTCGCTGCATGGACTTATTTCTCCGTAAGCGGACAAAATTTGTGTGCCACCGCAACATCTTCACATCTAGTCATAAATACAAAATTAAATTACTTTTAAAATAGTTTATCTTCGACATCGTTTTAACTAGAATCAGTGACGCCAAAAAGATAAGTTGAGAAGCTAATTTGATCTAACTCCTGCTGCAAAGCACACAGAAGCCTATTAACTTAAATCCAGTCCTATATGCCTTTTGCTTTCTAACTCACTGGTGGCCAGACCCAGACGTGGACTAATTCATAAAATCGCTGACTGTTGGTCTTATCCGTTTGAGGAGGTGTAGACTGCCTGGTTGTGGTCCTCGAGACTATAGGAATCGATGGTTGGGAACTTTGAGCAACGTGATTGAAAATCGATCACAATGGCGTGGATGCATTCAGACTCTGATGCCTTTCAAAGATTGGATATCTCCATTAACCTTCAAATTATTTCTCCTCCCGTACACCTTTATCTATTGTGATATCAGTCTTTTCCTACCCACTTGTTTTTAGCATGTTACTGTGAGATGTAGTCACTTGAATCGTGGAGCCATGGCTCACTGGTTCAGGGAGATCACTTTCAACCAGTGGGTCACATATTCGAACAGCGCTCCAACTACAATGGTTTGGGAAGCCATATACTGTCCCTAGCCTTCACACAGGTGCGGTTCATGGCCTACTGCACGAATGTGTACAAGGTTGCTAATTATATATGATAGTATCTCAACTCGAATCAATGCATTTGTGTGTGAAATTTTACATTGATTTTGTCTGTTTTCCTGTCTGTCTTAACTTACTGCTATGGTAAGAAAATTTCTATTTAGAACTAATATTAGAATATGCTAATACGCCAGTGCATGTTACACCACTATTATTTTAACTTAGTATTTAGTTAGCAGTACCTCGTCACCTTTTGTTCAAGTCACAAGCAGTGTATTAAGGGCGAAGATAACCAAGTATTTGAATGAAAATGGCAACAGTTCTCTTCTTGATGAAATCTGTAGAAAAAGTGGTAAAGATATTTGATAACCTATATCCAAAGGTTAACAAGAGTGAATGAATTACCACAGCCTCACTCGAACTGGCTGATGAAGGATGGATCACTTCAATTAGCCTTGAACAAGATGAGTGAAAGCACCTAAAGCCCAGTGACTGCAAACAGTGAAAGCGGAAGGTATGGAGAAGGCATCAGAATAAGGTAGTAACCTATAATTATTTAGGTTTATTCAGGGTACCGACACGAAAAAGATGGTCGGTAACACCGTCACCGAGAAGGATGGGACTGTAATAAACTATCGGAACATGTAGCTAGAAAGTCGGGCGGGACACTTCGAAGAAAATTTCAATCGGTCTACAGCTGACCTTCAGTTGCCCAGCGTTCAGCATGAAGCTGGATGGGACGTAGATGTCGGTCCTCCAACATACCTAGAGGTTGAAAAGGCTATTATAAACCTGAAATGATCCAAAGCAGTAGAACCGGACGATTAGCTACTAGACATTTTTAAGCAGGGAGGTAAAAAATTAATCTCTGAAGTACTGACGACACTGAGTGGTGCATTGGAATCCCAATTAGTCTTGTTACACTGATTAAGATTGTTAACTGCTCCAGTTTATGATAAGAGAGAGGTCTTCTTGTGTCAGCCATAGCGAATAATTTTGATTGATATTGTATCCGAAATCTTAGGGTTCCTTGTTATACGATGCTGACCTGAAACTTGAGAACAGCACACTCGTGAAAACTAGGTACGTTTCAGACCTGGATGAGCATGCACTAATCAAATCTCCACTATTCAACAGGTTTCGAAACACTGATGATCCAGTCGGTGGGCATCAGCGTGAGACCTGGAGTTATAGAGTAACAGTCCAGGCCGCCACATCTCGTATCAGCATATCAACGTAAAAGGTATCGAACCGAAAGATACAGAGATGAAGGAGAAAGCAGTCAAAGTGGTGGAAAGTAGTGAAGAAGTGCGAACAGAAAGCAATGAAATCATAACGAAATTCCCTATGACAATTACGATAAAGATAATGTGTGCATACATCTACACCTCTGAAATCGACTCGAACAAGCCATTTCACCCACAGCCTCCAACCATTGATTGCTGTTGTCACACGGGTGCCACCGAGATGTCTACATCCCCCCAGTCAACTCAGACCAACATTCACAGACTTCGTGAACTGATGCTATGTTTTAGTTTGACCACCTTCAGTCTGTTCCCAATCTGAACCAACTCCAGTTACCATTTTGTTAAGGACCAGACGATGACTAGAAGTATATACCATGTCCCAGTCATCTGAGTTGATGAAGGTTCATACCTGCGTCAACTGAATTTCCTCTCCTCCCAAAAACTCTACCTTTAACTCCTACTTTACTGACGTGGTAACAGGACGGCACAGCATCACATATACACCAGTATGTGCCATATTCATAGACATAAAGGTGGTGTTGGAACCTGTCAACCGAGTTTTGTGGCAACTGCTGATTGTGAAGGGAGTACTGAGGAAGTATATAATGCTAATCAACCCTCTACTCGGAATCACCCAGCAGCAAAGTTGCAAGTAGAACGATGGAATATTATTACGGGAAGCAGACAGTACGTGTAAGACATCTGAAGCCCTAGCCAAAATATTTTGAATGTTTTCACTCAGGAGAAAGTGGATGATACGTCACACTACTACTTGGAGTACTCCATCCAGGAAGTGAATTCATGCATTTCATATAAGCTAACACAACACTACGCTTAAATTTGGCATCAGAATAGTGGTAAAGTCTTTGAACCTCTGCGAGAAAAAGACCGACAAGGTTAAACCTTATCCTTGATTATCACAGAAAGAATTTAGGATTTAGTATCAACATTTCGCATTTGAAACGGAGTGTCATGTCTAGTGCATTTACTACTTCAGAAGCCAATCATCGGAAGTAACATCAACAGTCGATCTTTAAGCCACACTCTAAGTTCAGCTGGAGTACAAACTCTTCCACAGTGATAAGCAACAGAAACTTGATGCAACAAATGGTAGCAGCTACCTAGATAACCGCATCTACGAAGAAACTGGATTGTCACAAAAAACTACTTTAATTATTGGAATGGGTCAATATACCTGCTAACACCGTCGCTGAAGACAGGGATACTTCTGTTAGTCTGAATTTCAGCTACGATATGTAACCCGAAGACCTAACTGGTAAATTAATGAAGTTAAGGAATATGGACCTTCAACAACCAATGAGATCGTAAGAACATGAACAAAAAACGTAAGAGCACAATGTATAATAATGTAGGAAATGACTGAATGAGAAAAAACGCAGACACACTTTGTACAAACCTGTTGAAATTTTTTATTGGTTTCGATAAAGAGGCCAAGCCAACTTCTGTACTTGAAGTCGTAGATACAACTGCAGATTATTTATCCAGAGAGCTTAGAGTCAAGAAGTGCAGAACAGATCTACACTATACTTAAAATGGTTTCATAAGCGTGTCACCCAGTGATAATCGCCTAGTGGTCAACCACTATGCGAAGTAGTTAGCTATCTAACGTCATTCGTGCGCTCTTTGGTTGTGGTAGCTATAAACTTCACTTTTCAGTCCTGAAGATAGTAGGCCAAATAGTCTGCACAGATTTCTACGAAGACCCAACTTTGCTTTGGATCTGTTCACCGAAGGAGCTGATTTTATAAGCTACGAAAACATCCAAACTGTTGACCACTCCAAGAGTTCCATTCATAATTAACTCGACTACAGTACCACTCAGCCCCCCCCCCTTTTGATTTATTTCATAGAAGTTAAGTTTAAGATGATACACCTGGGATAACGAAACCAGTGCATAAAATTCAACAGCTAATTAGTAAATGAATGTTGGTCTATGCTCACTCAGTCTACTTAGCGCTCACTAAAAAGGAGATAACTACTTGAAAATAGCACTTAAGATATCTAAAAGTAAACTGTGTGCGGTAAAAAAAGGCTGTAATGTGAGTTTTTAAAGCAATTTAAACACTGTGTGGCATTTTTTGACAAATATAGATTTAAAGACCAGCATTCTATCACTCCTCATACGAGGAAATAAAAAGAAGACTTTAAACTTGTTCTATTACCTATGTACACCAAAAAATCTGCCCGTGTGAGTAGGATCCTGTCTGAAGTTAGGGCTCCTAGGGTCCCACTGACTTCTATAAGGTGATCTGCAGTTGTTGTACATAACGCAAAACACAAAACTAGCGGGGTGTGTGTGACGGGACTTAAGTATCCATTATCTGTTTAACGAGCTTGTGTAAGCCAGTTGATTTCTTCTTGCTTGCTTCTTTGTCTTGCTTTCACCTAACTGGCTTCCACTTCCAGAGCCATTGAATCATTAGTTCTAGTGGTCGGTAACCTATGTACAAAAAAGAGAGAGAAAAATTTGCAGTTAAAATATGAAAATGGAGTTTATTTTGCATGAACGCCCGCCAGCACCAAAAGCATGTACAGAGTTGGTGTTTAAACCATTCAGATAGGGTAGGCTGGATTAATACCTTAGGAAGGGTGAACCAGGATCGAACAACTCTAAGACAGTAGAGGTTGTGCCTGATGTCTAATACTATATTTTAGGTTAAGTTTTCTGGTCCGTCCTCTAAGATTGGTTCAGATGGTTGTTGGCAGAACAGAAGAAGCTTTCTCTTAACTGGCTTCCGCGTCTACAATCCGTGGGTCACTTCGCCTTGTGGTCGCTAACCCGTGTACAATTAAAGAAAGAGGAAAAAATGGAGGTTAAAATGTGAAAATTCGATTACTTTTGGGCAGATCCCTGATACATGTCAAGTAGGTATCCAGTCGGCGTTCATAGGATTCAGACGAAGTAGCCTGGGTCACATATACAGGAAGAGCGTTCCAGGGTTAACAACTGTTAGGGAATAGTTGTTAACATAAGTGTAAAACTTGGGCACTGTGGTAGAATGTAGTTCCATATTACATTTGTTTATTTGATATATAGTATTATTTACTTGATTACGTTTCGAGCACAAATTATTGCTCATAATTATACCATATCACACTGATAAGATTATGAGCAATAATTTATGCTGGAAATGTAATCAGGTAAATAATACTGTATCACTGTGCGCCACATATCAAATGAACAAATCTAATGTGGAATAGAAGTTGTTCCCTACATCTAACCTGCTATGTTTCTAGCTTAGTTTCTGTGTGTCCTCTAGGATTGGTGCTACAGCTGAGATTTAGTAAGCAGTAGAGTGGGTGGCCAGGCGTGCTCAGAATGTTGTGAGTCATTATCAAGTCTCCACCTAGCCTTCTGTATTCCAGAGGATTCAGATCCAGCACAACCAGTCGTTCTTCTTATGTTTTAGGCTTAAGTCCTCGAACAGATTTTATCGAACACCTCTGGATGAGTTCCAAGCTTTGTTTGCCCTTCTAGAGAGAAGGGTGGAAGATTATGGTCCCGAGCTCCAGGTGAAGCCGTATGGAACTGTTGAAAACTTGGTGGAAGCATCTATGATCGAATTGTCCGAAAATTTATCTGAGGGTTACTAACGACAAGTTTTCAAGAAATGCGTTTCTGTCACAGTTGGCAGTATTTCAAGTCTTGAAAGACCAGGACGCCCAAATCCTTCTTTGTCAGTGACGCTTCAAGTTTCACGCCGCTGATACTATATACATGAGATGTGTCGTGTTTTGCGTGTATCACATTGTGTTTCTCAGGATTAAATGCCAGTCTGTCGTTGACTGCCCAGCTGTGAAGCTGAGCGGAGTCTTCCTGTAGACGGCCACTATCTTCTTCATCGTTAATTTTTCTCTACACTTTCGTGTCGTCAAAAAGGAAGGATTTTGAAAGAAACCTGCTGAGCCAAGTTGTTGACGCACATTAGAAAGAGGAGAGTCCATAGTATTGAACCTTGGGGAACAGAACTGGGACATTCTGTTTCTTCAAACAGAGGAACTCACTTGAACTGCAAATGAACGGCCTCGTAGATATGAAGACAACCAGTCAGTGAGAGGAGGTCGAATCCCGATTAGTTTCAATTTATCAATTATGTAGTCATGGTTAACACGACCAAACGCTTTAGCAAAGTCTAGGTAGATAACAACAATTCGTCCTCGACGGCCAACAATGCTCGTCCATTTACCTACTGCAGCGAGCAAACTGGCAGTGCATGAGTGCCCTTTCGGAAATCCATGTTGTTGGGGTGCAAAGAATTTATCTTCGTGAGACAATCCCTCAGTCCATCGTATATTAACGATTCCATTACTTTTGAAAGAATCGTTGGAAGTTTCACCGGTCTGCATTTATTTGGATTCCTCCACTGGCCCCCCTTTGAGGACTGGCATTATGTGGCACAGCCCCTAAGAGTCAGACGCTATCCCCTGACTCAGAAAACTCTTAAATAACTTACTTAAAGGTTCGGACAAGATTAAACTCCCTCCCGCAGTACTGCCGGATGGGTCTCACGTGGTCTCGAGGAGGTGTCTTTGGTGAGCCGTAGCAGTTTGTGCTGTACCAGCTAAACGCACAGGTTAGTGGCTAAGAGTCCTACTTCGTTAGTAGGATATTCGTAAGCTCCTGTGTAGGTGGGCGATGGCAGGTACTGGTCGACATAAAAATTCCTGTATTGTGTAGTAAAGTGTTTTATTCTTCACACCAGCAGTCTCGAGCATAATTTTTCATCGGAACTTTTTCAAGCCACAGAACTCGTGTATGTATAGGCTGCGTGCAGATCCGCCGTTATTTCACAGGCTATGGTAATGTTTGTGATTCGTGATGCAGTGTGAAATTCTGGACGCTAGTAATTGAGACTAACTTTCTGGTTAGTGTCAGGGCGAACTTTTGAACTATTGGAAAGTTGGGGTAAAATGTCCGAGTGGGCTTCGGAACGACTGGGACCTTTGGGTAGAAGGTTTGGGTGGACAATGAAAAGTTCGAAACCTCCGTGCTAAACTTTGGAGGAAAGTTGAGAATTTTTGGAAAAAGCCCTGACATTTTTGGGATTAGGATGTACTCTCTGAGGTAAGTCATAAATATTTTCTACCACTTTTTACTCAAAATTTCAAATTGCACCCAAAGTACTTGCCGACTGGGGAAGTTTGCTTCATTTCCAATCGTAATTTTGTTTACAGTACTTAATCCTCAACATGTGACGTATCAGTTTGCTCGTTGTAGAATATTGTTCGAATGAGGTTCAACAGTGGCACTGTTTAACAGTATATGATGGAGAATAACAGGATTGTGGGAATATTTAATGACTTCGGCGTCATATTTTCACGTCTTCAGCAAAATGAAGGATTCCGAAAGTACCTGGTAAGATAAGTCTTCCATGTGCAATGGAAAAAGAAGAGGCCCGGGTACTGGTCCCTGAAGAATTCCACTACGCCATTCTGTTTCTTTGGACAGAAAAACTTACCCAAATTGTGAATAAGCTCCTACGTAGAAATGAAGATGGGGAGTCGATGAGCGGTGGTTTGATCTCGATTAATTTTGATTTATTAGCAACGTAATCGTGATTATCTCGAGCAAACGCCTTCGGGAGTCTAGTTAGAAAGCAACAATTCCACCCTGGTGGTCGACAGTACTGGTGCGCTTAATGGTTGTGATGAACGGGTTATTGATCTAAGGCTACTTCGCCTGAAATCCGTGCTGTCAGGGAGTAAAGAAGTTAGTCGCCTTGAGCTGACCCCTTAGTCCATCATAATTGGACGACTCCATTACTCTAGAAGGTATGGGAAAAGCGTTACCTGTCCATATTTCAGCTGGTTGATTCTCTGGCCTCCTTTAAAGACCGGCTTTATCTGGCCCGACCTCCAAGGATCAGGCACTTACCATTGACTCAGAATCCTTAAATGAACTACTCAAAGGTTTGGCCAGGGGTACTTCCCGTAATACCGCCGCAAGTATCCTTTCCGGTCAGAAAGAGGGATCCTCAGTGGGCGGTTACTGTTTGCCCTGTGCTAGGTCGACGCATAATTCGACAGCCGTGTCAACTCGGCTGCTGGGATATGTGTAAACTCCTTAGAAGGAGGTTGATAACGAGGATATTTTCAACTACTGACCAGCTCGAAGCCCGGTTGCTCCAGTGTCCCTAAAATTCAGTATATTGGGTTCTATTGGTTCAGAGGCCTGCATCAGCCGGCCGGAATGATACTGCCTAGCAGAACAAACTTCCCGGTTTAGAAACGGATATGTTTGTAAGTCTGACTTGATGCGCCGCCTTTTCGGCTCTTAAAGCCTTTGTCTGTCTGACTCATCATTATTCAGCCCAGTGACGTCTTCTCAAACTAGATAGTTTGTGAGCACAGCTGCTTGTAACGTGGGCGCCTTGGGGCTCTTCGGAGTTGGCGGTGAAACAGACCGGCTGATGATATGCATGACTTTAGGCGCTCACAACCTGCCATAAGTGGCAGACTTCCCAACACATCTGTTCGGGTGTTGCCCTGGCAGCTACTTTATCCGCCTAAAGTCCCAACGACAGTCGTTGAAGGTAGGGTTACTTTGGTTTCACAGATACGCTGAAGGCCTATGACGACGTGGTTACTCCTGCTGGATAGACGGAGGATCGTCAGGTTGTCAATCAGGAATCCTTCATTTATCAAGGTGCAGTCTAAGCGGGATGGGTTTTGGATTGTCGTCTTTCACATTTCTGTTCCTGCACTTCACAGTCCTTCAGTCAAGTTGAAGAATCGGGCTTCACTGGAGTCGTCACCGCTACTAAGCGTGTCAGAGGTAAGGTTAACCTCCGGTGAGTTAAAATCTCCTGAGATTAGTATGTGCTCGTGTCCCAGTTTAACAGAGCAACTAGTTACCTGTAACTTTTGGTCAGCATACTTTACATCAGAGGACAGTTTGCACCAAGCACGTTTTAGTCTTGAATAGTCTTCTGGGGCACCAGATTAACTCTTCAAGACGACCAGGTTCTTATATGTAGATTTTGTGAGCTGCAAGAGAAGGGAAGGCGGAAATTCACGTCAGTGTCAGCCCCCCTGTCGATGCGAGACAACGTAATGTTGGTAACAGCCGGCTCCCAGCCTGACACTTAGGGGGAAACCCATGTCTCAATGACATACATAAGATAAGAATAAGTGTTTCTGCTGAGTTTCTGTGGTTCATCAAGTTTATTTGGCAAACTTGGTACGATTATGTGGATGCTGCTGACCTATCTACTTACAATCCATTTAGTGGTGCTGCTTCACCTTCTGATTCCCTGGCTAAAACCTCAGGTGTTGACTGGTAACCCACCTAGTTGTGGCTTACGGGTGAATTGTTCCCTTCCCCTCCCTCGCTTCTAGTTCCTATGCAATCAACCAGGGGTACAACCAGTTCCTATCTTCTATGTTTCCGCTGAAGCCTCCTATTCTGCGACCTTTGGTCCGTTAGCGCAACCACCGGCTCTAACTGATCAGCGATTGAAAAGAATGCGTTCAATTCATGCATGCAATTGGTCCAGTTCCTGTTGCCAGTAGTTCGGTTGATAACGGCGTGCATTGAAAA